TAACCTTCGCTGACTGCGCGGTTCTGGCGAAGTGCACGCCTTCTATGTACAACAAAGGACACCCAGGTCCTAGCTGGTAAGGTAAGGTAATATTGGTCATCTTTTACTTAATTAATAGCATGCACATTGTTCCGTCTCCGCCGAAAGTCAACTGATACGAACACGACCAACAAGCAACGAAGAACGAGACCATCAATAGGCTACAACATCCACCAATCAGCGACGACCACATCAACGCTCGCCGCTTTAAAAGAGGCATGCATCACCGTGCAAAACAAGAGTTCTTTTCCGACCAAGCACCAGCAAACATCAGCAGCAGTAGAAGCAGAATTTGTAGAGAGAAAGAGGAGAGAATAAACAGTTGTTAGCGTAGCCGTCCGATCAAGTTTATTTTGCACACATCCCTGGTTTGGAGCAGCGTCGAACCCACCAGCTCTTTTCAGAACCCTTACGAGTTGATTTCCGATCGACGCTTGCTTCCTCCACCACCCTGCCGATACAGTCCACTACCGAAAGGGAAAGTTCCCTCCCAGTCCGAACATAATTTGGTCCTTCGAACCGGATCACGAGCCAAGAAGCTTTCGCCGTGAAAGTTTACGCATAGATGTTCCTGCCAACTGGAACGAAGCCGATTTCCCACCGAAAGAAACGGACGTGCTACGCTAGCCAAGTACCAAACAAACAAAACTACTTCCGCTGCTGCCGATGACAGCATCGTGTGCGCAGTATACAAAAAAGTGAATCATATGAGTGAGCGCGTTCGCGAAAAACAATATTCCGAAAAGTGAATCGCATGCGTGTGATAGTTTACTACGCGTTCCAAAGATGACCGATGTGGAAAGGTTGATCGTACTTCGTGGCTTAGTAGAGGCGAAGGTAACGCGAATCCTGAAGGAAGTGCAAGAAACCGATATCACCATGCATCCGGTGCTGTGCAACAGGCACGCCAGGAACCTCCAGCGGTATTACCAGGAGTATCAATGGTTGCACAACAGAATTATGACCGCCATCTCTGCAGAGAGATTTGATGAGCAGGATGAGGACTACCTGCGTTTCGATGATCTGTACACCGAGGCCTGTATACTGGTGGAAACATTGCTGCTTGCCTTTCCAACTACCGATATCAGGCACCACCAACACCGAACACCATCACCGGCCACAAGCAAACCATACGCTCGGATCGTCCAAAATCAACCAATGACTCGAATGATGGAACAGCCCGTTCCGATTCCACTCGCGATGGAACTGCCATGTACGTTAATGACGATAAAGTTGCCACCGCAGCGTATGTCGTACCCGATCCAAACCATCGATGTGAAGACGATTGTGAATCAATCCACCGAAACGAAGTCGATCAAGAAGTCAACTGAAGTGGATAATCCAACTGAACTCTTGAAGGTGAAACCCATAATTATGCCGTTGAACTCCCATTGTGGACCGACCGAGGTCCGGCTAGTCGATGATTCACCTCCACCTACCAATGTGGCCGAGTACGGTAATCCTGCCGATACTGAAACCAAGCTGACAAGTACGATTGAAGATGAGGTTCCAACCGAAGCTGACTATGTTAAGCTCAACTCTGCGTGCAAGCCAAATTATCTTCCTCGTGGATTGACAGAGGACCGTTACGTCGAGAATTCAGCCAAGTTCGTAGAAGTCAAGCCTAATAACATGGCAAGTGAACCAACCGAGTGCCATGTCAATAAGGACTCACCTCAAGTCATGGATGTAAAACCGAAACGGTTTAAACATCCCGAAACAACCGAAGTCAATCCGAAGCTATTCCAAGACGACTTTCAAGCCATCGAACCGAAGTCCGTCGCAGCTGGTGAAGTTCCGAAAACAATCCTAACCTCGACTGGAACCAGACCGATCTTGAATTGTATCCCCGTCGGAAACCATCCGGTGTTGATGTCTTACCCGATGTCTACCGGAATCCTTCCAGTAATCAAGCCATTCCTGAGGGCCGCCAGAACCTATCCGGTGGTCCAACCGTCCCCGATGTCTGCTGGAATCCGTCCGGTGGTCAAGTCATTCTCGATGTCTGCCGAAACCAATTCGGTGGTCAAGCCATTCTCGATGTCTGCCGAAACCAATTCGGTGGTCAAGCCATTCCAGATGTCCGCCACAATCCAGCCGGTGGCCAAGCCGTTCCTGATCTCCACCGGAATCCAGCCTGTGATCAAGCCCTTCCTGATGTCTGCCGCAACCAATCCGGTGGTCAAACCGTTGTCGATGTCCGCCGGAACCAATCCGGTGGTCAAACCGTTCTCGATGTCCACCGAAACCAATTCAGTGGCCAAGCCGTTGCTGATCTCTGCCGGAATCCAGCCTGCGATCAAGCCTTTCCTGATGTCCGCCGGGACCAATCCGGTGGTCAAACCGTTCTCGATGTCCACCGAAACCAATTCAGTGGCCAAGCCGTTGCTGATCTCTGCCGGAATCCAGCCTGCGATCAAGCCTTTCCTGATGTCCGCCGGGACCAATCCGGTGGTCAAACCGTTCTCGATGTCCACCGAAACCAATTCAGTGGCCAAGCCGCTCCTGATCTCTACCGGAATCCAGCCTGCAATCAAGCCTTTCCTGATGTCCACCGGAACCAATCCGGTGGTCAAACCGTTCTCGATGTCCACCGAAACCAATTCAGTAGTCAAGCCGTTCCTGATCTCTGCCGGAATCCAGCCTGCGATCAAGCCTTTCCTGATGTCCGCCGGAACCAATCCGGTGGTCAAACCATTCTTGATGTCCACTGCAACCTGTCCGGTGGTCAAGCCATTAATGATATCCACTGGAACTCGTCCGGTCACCAAGCCGTTCCTGATGTCCGCCGGAATCAAAGCGGTAATCAAGCCTTTCCTGATGTCCACCGGAACCCGTCCGGTGTTCAAGCCGTTCCAAATGTCTACTGGAACCCGTCTGGTGGTCACGACCTTCATGATGTCCACTGGAACTCGTCCGGTGTCCAAGCAATTCCCGATGACCCTTAGAATTCATCAGGTAAACAAGCCGTTTCTGATGTCCCCTGGAAACCATCCGGTGAACAAGCCGTTACCGATGTCAACAGGAGACCATTCGGTGTTGTATTTTCCGATGCCAACTCGAAATCATCAGGTGCTAAAGCTATTCCCGATGTCTGCCGGAACCCGGCCCGTGTTCAAGATGTTTCCGATGTCTACTGGAAAACGTTCGGTATTCATGCGGTACCCGAAGCCAATGGAAAAGTATCCGGTGTTCAAGCGGTTTCTGATGCCAACCGAAAACTGTCCGATGTTCAAGCCGGTCCCGATGTCAGCTGGAATTCACTCAAGGCCAGTTCTGGAGCCAAGTGCACTCGTTCCGTTACCGACGTCTGAGAAACAACAAATAAGAGATCCACCAGACAAGCCAAGCTCAGCTAATCCTGTACCGAAGATGCCCTATCCTGATTCCAATGATATCGTTCCAATACCAAAGCCTGAGGAGCCACCGCCACAGGATCTTTCTATTCGACATCGAGCCAGCAAGCTCAGACTGAGAACACTACTTTGCGCCGCTCACCTTCTAACCCGGTTAGTACAGAAGGTATTACCAGTCCTGGATATGGAGTTCCGAGAAATTGTGCTATGGTGCGAAAGTACGATAGTGCTGGCCTGGATCAACAAACCGCTCAACCAACTACAGTCAACCGGAACGCTGTGATCCAAAAACAAACCGATATCGTGTCTTGGTGGAGTGGTCCTGAGTTCCTCCAGAGAGAAAGGTACAACATCGAACTACCCGAAAATATTCCAGACCAGATGCTACCTGCACTGAAAGCAGTTATCGTCAACCCAGATGACCCAGTCGACCTGAAGAAAAAGCAGCCCTTAATCATCCCGCAACCACGCCAGGCAACCGAAACTATCACCCAAGTGGTTCAGTTTGTTCATTTGGCGGAAGACATTCAGCGAGTTGTTACCCACGACCCTTGCAAGAAATTGGCAAACCTGCATCCGATCTACACTGATGGCCTGGAAGCGTTATACGATCTGAGCACCGATGCCTTCCTGGCATTCTTCAAGCGTTTCATTGAACAACGAGGTAGCAGCAGCAGCATTCGGATAATTGTACTATTTTCCAAAGTACCCACCCAGAAATTATCCTACTACACAGGAAGAAGAACCTACGAGCCATGCCGATCATCCGTGAAACCCTGATACCGACACCCAATCCGCAATTCTAGACAATCGTTGTTAATCGTTGAGTTACCTCAACCGGGGGAGTATGTTCCGTCTCCGCCGAAAGTCAACTGATACGAACACGACCAACAAGCAGCGAAGAACGAGACCATCAATAGGCTACAACATCCACCAATCAGCGACGACCACATCAACGCTCGCCGCTTTAAAAGAGGCATGCATCACCGTGCAAAACAAGAGTTCTTTTCCGACCAAGCACCAGCAAACATCAGCAGCAGTAGAAGCAGAATTTGTAGAGAGAAAGAGGAGAGAATAAACAGTTGTTAGCGTAGCCGTCCGATCAAGTTTATTTTGCACACATCCCTGGTTTGGAGCAGCGTCGAACCCACCAGCTCTTTTCAGAACCCTTACGAGTTGATTTCCGATCGACGCTTGCTTCCTCCACCACCCTGCCGATACAGTCCACTACCGAAAGGGAAAGTTCCCTCCCAGTCCGAACACACATAACCTGAACATACATATGAACGACTAAGAAGGGTTTTCAGCATTTTATGTAAATTTCACTGCTGCAAGCGAAATAAACAGCATCTTGAGAGTGACTAATTCGATTCGCCGAGAAGATGAAGGTACACATCTGGGGACGCATTGTGTTCGAAGAAACCACATGGAGACTGACAGTAGGATGACACACATTAAGGGGTGTTTCCCGAGTTCACAGCAGCAATGAATCAAACCGGCGTGCGCGCACGGATGGTTTACACATGTCCGGTAGTGAAGTACCGTTGTTTCCTCTAGCGCGATATCAAAGTCATGGACGTTTCTTTCACAATGCAAGCCGGGAGATTCCAGTAGAATATGCTATTTTATTACAGTTCACTTCTGATAACATCCTATTTGCGATCGATGAGATCAACCATACGATGTATGGGGATGCTAAGGTGTGTAAGTGTCCCATTTCGGACACCGTTAGATTTGTTTATAAATACGAAGACATTATAACATAGGAAACAAAAAAGATTTCAAATATGTGTAACATACAACTAAACGCTTTACTTGCTAAACGTATATTTTCTCATTTTGCTACAAATTTTACTGTTAATGGATTAAATTGGTCCGGTGTAGAAGACAATTTCACATGACAAAAATCTACAGAAATACATTGTTTTTTTTTTCTAGCTACTCACAAAGTTATTTTTCCAGATAGGAGAGAAAAGTCTGTCCCAGAAAAAGCGGCTCTATCGGTGCCTGTCTTTCTTATCAGGCAGTTAATGCACACATGGCTCTTGTTCTGGGATGTCGGTGAAGAAAGTTAGCAAATAAGGCACAACTACATTTAACACATAGAGGGGAGGGGGTCACAAAATCGCCTGTCTGGTCCTTTTGCTTTGTGCTAAAATCCCGATCGACTGCTACCGATCAACCAATAATCTTTGCTTTTGTAAAGGTGCTGCTTTGTTTCATTGTTTGTTTTGTCTCGTGTGACTAAAAGCACGATTTACGCTACATTGATCGTGGAAAGTCCTGCGAAATTGGTACCAAATGCATTGGATCCGTAATACGATGATATCTGCGTGGAACATATAATGAGATATTATTTAGTTGTACTGGATCGAATGCTTTCGACAGTTACGATCTGAACACCGGTACGGAATAGTCTAAAATGAATCGTTTAAGAAAACAAAACGACTGTTTTTTTTTTCGTGATAATAAGGCGTTAGTTTATATTTTAATATGTACAATTACACAGAGTTACAACAGTTTTTAACCAATTGTGTTGAGTCTTATTAGCAATAAAGGTTGATTTTAGTACTTACAAACATAAATATAACCTTAATTAGTGAGACTATTTTTGTTTTGAACATTTTTCCTAATTGCTATGATTTTTGATCTATTTTAATCAGAAGTCTTTTGCCCTTAGAAACTAGTCAACAACGGATGCACTCACGCCCTACGCGGCCAGCCAGACGACACTCATGCGATTCGTACAAAAAGGACACACATGCCCTACCATCACCAACACCACACTGATGAGATAGAGGAAGGCCAGACACATACACAGAGAGATAAGGATTACTTAGTAGCAGCTGGAGAAGCGATTACTGAAGAGAAGAGAAAAAACGAAAAATTAAGCGTTAGTTTGTTTCGTGAGCCAACACCCGTGTAAGGGGAATGGTAAATTTGGAAGACATTCCCTAAACGATTCATTTGATATCTCTAGAATGGCAATTGGGGCCGTTTTGGACTATTTACCTGTTCGTCTTCTTCGCTGTCCTCTTCCTCGTAGTCACTCTCCGGGGGCGTTAGCAGTTCCGCGCCGTGGTTTTTCAGTCCGACCAGCAGGGACTGGTTGTGCTGGATGGCGGCCAGTTGGTAGGCGGTAAGGCCGGCATACGTTACCTGCTCGAGCCGCAGTTTGGGGCACTCGTCGAGCAAGAAGTTGGCCAGCTGCTCGTTGCTGGACTCGATGGCAATGTGCAACGGCGTTAGGCCCGATTTGCCTTCCTACGGAGGAATAAAAAACGGAAACATGGTTATTATGACTGTTGCCATGAACTAAATGTTTCGTTATTGGGAAGGTTGATTCGTATTCTTGAGCTGTTACAAGATAACTAACGTAGCTATTTTATGACGTTTTTCATTGTTTGATAAGCATACAGACTTAATGAAACATAATTGTTTGATTGTTACATTATTGGAAATGAAATTTGAGAAAGAATACGAAATCAACGATTTCACAATGGTGACCAAATGCGATTCTAAAAGAATAACAACTTACCCGTGAGTTAATGTCGGCTCCAACGCTAACCAAATACCGAAGAATCTCAACGTTGGACGTCTCAGCGGCAATGTGAACACATCGTTTTCCTGGAATCATAGAAAAAGAAATTCAAGATTAATTAACCGAGCGTACATTGCGCCGATGTTTCGGGAAATACCCCAATGCGTAAAATATTGAGCATAGTAAATAATGATGAATGAAGACATGTCACGTCCGGGGAGCAAATATTACAATGCGCAGCGCGTGGAAAATAATATATAATAAAAGAATGAATCCGCTTACAAATAATTGATAAGAGGCACATTTTGCGAAACGATTGGTATTCTCAAAGGAAATTTCCAGAATGATAAGCCATGGAAACTTAGCAGAAGACATATCTCAAAATTTTGCATTTATTTATGAACATAAAAGCACGCGCGTGTGAAAGCCATTACAAATGCGCGGAAATTTCCAAAATACTCCACCAGCTATGGGCAAATGAGCAAGAACCGGTTTCCCGCTGTTTAGGGGTAAACCTTCTGCGCTTGGGCAAATTCAACGATCTATATTATCTACATATTTCGATTGATTTTGTCTATCGACCCCTCTCAGCCCTCTCTCAGCAGAAGGAGTTGTCTCAGGTGGGCGCGCGTATCAGTGAAGGGTAAAGAGCGAGCCGAAACAAAGCGATTCAATCAAACCAGTCAGTCAGTCGGTCGGTCGGCTATAGTAGGTAGATATGTGTGTTTGTTCGAGCACAACTTGCACAAACAAAAGCAGGTATTACAGACAGCGAGTGCAAAGCGTAATACAAAAAACGTGAAAACCCCCTGGAATTCCCAGAGTCGCTACGTATTCACGTGTGTATGACGGGTACTTCCAGGCGTGCTGTACGTATGGTCTTGAGTGAGGGCACTCGCGTGGTGGGCACTAACTAAACTTTGGGCGATTCAACCCATTACCGATTGCGCAAAACGGGGACATCGTTCGCATTCGATGATTACGGGGGGCATGATTAATCCGTCTCGTATTGTACGCGGAACTTTGACCAGTCAGGAATATCCCCAAATTCATCATCGTCGTCATGATGATTACGCCGTCGCGCAGGAATGCATGCTTTTATTTTTAAAACATCCGCGCAGATGAGGACACACGAAAGCAGTGTGGAAAGCGGACAGCGTTCGGTTAAATTTAAATCACGGGCCGGTCGAATGTTGGGAAAAAAATTTCCACTTTCAATATTTATATCCGACGCATTCTCGCGAGTGAGTGGGCTTAGAATGGCGTTGTTTGAATACAGAGAAGGTAACAGCTGGGACGTGCTGAATGGTGATCTTCTGGGCGTTGGAAACTGGTTTCTTGTATTTTTTTTTGTTCATAAAGAATAGCGATTACAGGTGGTTTTAATATTAATTTGATTCTTTAGAAGATATTTATGGCTCAAATGCTTACCAGCTTTGAGATGAATTACCATTGTTACAATACTTACGACCTATTGAGAAAACTATTGGAATCAACAAACAAATCGGCATCAACATTTGCATGCGGACGAAAATGTTATCGTTATTAATGTTCCGCTCTATTGAAATGTTGATGCCGAAATGATATCTGACAATGGAACGGAAAAAATATATGTTAGGACGTTTTAACGGTTTGAAAATCAAGTTATGTTTTTAATTATTTATATCGATAATGCGGAACATTCCCATACAATTGGTAGCTATTTAGCGGTGCTACAGAATGGTATCAAAAAAGTATTTTGGACATAGGTCCATTTTAAATGTTACGCGATATATGATCTAAAATTAAGGACTGCATCGAAACTAAGGTTGCCTTCAAATCAGTAAAAATATTTGTAAATGAAAACAAGTTCTTCTATTTTCTGTGTCATGCTCTTCTTTACAAGTTAACGATTTAAAACAAACAAAACGATATTCTTTGAGGTACTGATACCATCTTAAAGTTAGTTGCTCTTATGAGAATTTGCACAGCGTATTTTTGCATTTTTTGAAGGCATCGTACCAGCATATTTTTAACTATTTCAAGTTTTAATAATCTCTTTGTAGATGCTCTTTACAATTGCCACTCAAAATCAGTCGTCAAAACCCAATAGGTCTTAGTTTCGAGAAAGTTGAATGAATTGATGTCGTTTTCAGAAAAGTCGAATTTTAACATTTTTTTCTAATTTTCAGCTAGCATAACTTAGTAAATTCATGTCAAATTAGGCAAAAACTACGTTTCCTTTACAACCTTTTCGATGGATGCTACACGGCGAATGAGAACGGTCCAAATTTGAGGTTAGTTTACGCATAATCGCCAAAGGTGTAGGAACTCAGCGATGAGTAAATTACCTCATGTTTTTTGTTGTTGTGGAAAACCTCAAAAATCTGCCGGAAAATGAGGGAAATTGACGGAAATAGTAGGAGTAGTACCAATATACTGAGTGAATCCAATCTTTACTTTTCTCATATTCTGGAATTTGTTCCATGAGGCAAATTTACTCATCGCTGAGTTCCTGCCCTTTATGTGAATTATAAGTAAGTTAAGCTTAAATTTGGGTCGTTCTCATTCGCCGTGTAAGGCTACTAAGATCATGAAATAGCGTACAAAAATCGTACGATGGGTACATAAAGTACGAAAAACCTTTGTCACGGTGTGCAACATTTTATAAGAGGACCAAAATATAAGACCATAAAAGCACCTTACAGAATATATTTTTTTTAAAGAAGAGTACTTCATTTTGAATTATGTTCTATCGATTTGGCTAGAAATATTTGTTTATAACTTATTTTCGATAAGTAATTGAAGTCACTTTAACACTCTTGTCTGGGGGTGAGATTTGAACTCGTGACTTTGGCATGAGAGGTATCGCTTGGCATTGACAGTTGTACACACCAACTGCACTATAGATGTGCAAAGAGTAGGTAAATCTTAACATTTGAATCAACACCAATGAATTTATACACATAGTCCGAGGTGTGCAGCGAGCATTTCTCACTCGATTTTCACAACGCAAAAACAACTGTGTGCAAAGTTATAAGCAAATGAGCAGTTCGTGACCAAAACTGTGTATGCCAAGCATGGAGGTATGGATTCTAATCACTACGCCGGGGTCGCTCCCGATACAGTCCTTATATTCCTAAAAACAAACTTCATACGGGGCAGGAGTGCCACTCTTACATTTAATATGTAAAACATATAAAAATGTTAAACTATTTTGCATAAAAAAATATCAAACAGAGTTTAAATTTGATCTTTAAGAAGTGCTTGGCTTATCATATTTGTATAAACATGTATCGTTAAGTTCAATACAATGTAACAGACAATAAGCTGTTGCTTAAGTCGTAAGTTAGTCATTGTTTATAAATAAACGTTAATCTGGTTCATTCTAAGATGTATGGGCTTTTTGCCTCATAAGAGTGGCTCTCTTATCCCGTAGCATTTAAAAAAAGTAGATATGACAGTTACCGTATGCGTGATAATGCTTGCACCATCGTACCAATAAGGTTCACGTTTCACCTGTGCATAAAATGCCTTGGTTTTCTTTGCCTGCACGTAACCTATAGCTCATACCGTAGTAGGCTGTGTATAAAAGAAAATGATTTACTTAGTTTGACAGTTGCACCATGACGAAGTGGCAGCGTATTCGTGATTTGTCCCACGCGCAAATGTCGCAAAAAGACATTTCAATCGCTGTGGGAGTGTCCCGGTGGACCGTCAAAAGGGTTTTAGACCGAGAAAAGAAAGGACAACTATCTGCGAAGGTGGCCACAGGTCGTCTGAGGTCAGCTCGGGTTCCGAGGGTTATCGCTGCTATCAAAAGGAAGATTCGGGTGAATCCAGTGCGTTCAATAAGGAAAATGGTAAAGGAACACGGGATCAGTGACTTTACGGAACGGAATATCGCAAAGGAAGATTGCGGGGCGAAGTCGAGGGCACGGAAAAAAAAACTCACATGATTACCAACCGCATCCGGGAGCTACGAATCGAACGATGCAAGAAAATCTTGAACTTCTTTGAGCGAAAAAATCCGGTAATCCTGTTCACCGACGAGAGCATGTTTGCCGTCGATACCGTATCAAATTCCAGAACCGATCGGTATATTAGTTCTTTTCCAGTAAAAGACGTGGCCGACGAGCACAAGAACGTGTATGTAGCGTTATGGTGTTTGGATTGGTGGCTTCCGATGGCATTCCAGAAGGCAACAAGGTCAACACGGAGGTCTACATCGGGATTTTAAGTAAGTATGTTCTTCCGTGGATCAAAGAACAGTACGGTCCGAAGCCAAATGTTGTATTTCAACAAGATGGGGCTCGTGCCACACCTCGAACCGCACTCAGAAGTGGGTGCAGGCACATTTTCCGTTCTGGGCGAAGGATATGTGGTCGCCATTCAGTCCCGATCTTAATCCGCTGGATTACTCAATATGGCGCGTCATGAAGGCCTGTTCTAAAGGCCACCCGAGTACAGCAAGCCTCAGACAAACATTGACCCGTACCTGGAGAGAAATGGATCCAGACTACATTATTAGAACCTGCCGTGCAATCCTGGAAGCATGTGGAGGCCGTAATTGCAGCAAGTGGAAACTCGATCGATGATTAACCTGGTTTAAGACTCTGAGACACATCTCCCCTTTGAAAAAAAAAACTCAAAAACGAAATTTTTTAGATTTTTTTTAAATTTTGAAATTGATCAATGGTGTAAACATTATCATGCATACGGTAGATAGTTTTGATGTGGATTAATTTAAATGAATACATTGTTATATATTATTATTAGGGTGACCTTCTTGCCCCTAGTTCCCCTACGTCAATTTCAAATCATAAAAGTACCACGATCCGGTTCTCAACGAGACTTAAAGAACGCAAAAAGTACACAGAGCTTAGGATAGTGAGCCTTAGCTCAGGACTATTTGAGGAAAATAATTAGGCGATAATGGCATTTGATTGATGTATAATTATAACTTAAGACTGGCAACTGATTGATTGCTTTTATAAGCATACCATGACTGCGATAAAAGCTGCGTGTATTATAATAAAAATAAAATTAATGCACTTATCAATAAGTTTGTTTTGCAACATTGTGTCATCATTGAATCGCTTAGTTA